GAGGGGAAGGAAAGCATGGGAGAGATCAGCGATCAGACCCCATAGCCTTCAGGATAGTCACGGTCCTGACTGACTCTCTTCTTTCTTCTCATTGGACTTACATGCCTATGTACGCTCAGTTTTTGGGTGCTTTCTGCAGGTAACCCTCTAGAGTGCAGGTAGCCCCCGGCACCTATTTTTCTGGCCACATCATTGCCCTTTTGTGGGGTCAGTAGGCTGGACAGGAGCACAAAAGGAGAGAAGCAAAGCATTCAGGGGTGACAGCCACTCCAGGGATCAATAGCAGCAGCCCAAGGCTAAGCAAGCTCAACCCTTGAGGGACCCAGTCATTTTGGAACTTGGGAAGAAGCAAGAGAGCGGTACAGTTCTGAATCAGAGAGGTGGTGGGAGACATGCCAGATGGGGCCTTTTTCTCCCCCTCCCCCTCAGGGTCCTTTAGAAATGGGGTAGAGAAGATTCTGAGGCCACTGAGTGATGGCCGGGCCTCCAAATTGGACCTCATGGCACCCAGCCAGAATTCACAAGGCTGGATGTAAGCAGCTCTGAGTCTATGTGACTTTGAAGGAAGTAGGGTGGGAAAGCTCTGGTCTATTTCAGGACCAAAACAGTATGTGATAGTGTAGGTAAGGAAGTTAGGTTGGGGGTCTTCTTGGGGCCTCATTTAAATGTGGAGCTGAGTTCAATGGCTTCCAAGCTGAAGAGTTTAGAAAGCTGGCTTGGTTTTCTCTTTAGTTCCCGTCACCCGCTACATTTTGAAATAAATCCTGGACAGACTTATACCTGTAATCCTAACTGGACTCAGGAGGCTGAGGTCTGAGGATCCTGCTTCAAAGTCAGCCCAGGCAAGAAAAGCCGGTGACACTCCTATCTCCAATTAACAACTAAAAAATGCTGGAAGTGAAGCTGGAGTGCCAACTTTGGGCGGAAAAGCTAAGGGATAGCACCCAGGCCCTAAATCCAAGCTGCAGTGCAAAGAGCAGATAAATGAAATAAAAATAACACTAAATGGAAATAAACGTGGGGGGGGGGACCATTAGTCTGCTGTGCTGGTGTATCCTGAAAATGTTAAATTTAGACTTTAAACCTAGAATCAGGACCCAAGAGTCACGCCTTGTTTTGCACTCCCCCAGTTCTTGTAGTCCCTAGGGATGGGCCATCTGGACACGGGGCCAAACAGAGTCCTATATAGTAGAGCCAGCGTCCTGTGCTCACCCTAATTCCCCTATTGCGTTCTACTGTCTTCTAGAAGGGGTTCTCTTTACCCCAGCCCCGACATCTACCTCTCAAGGTTCCTATAACCCCTAAAGCGAACTCTTCCTACGCACCAGAGGAAGGCACGGACCTCGGATTGGGAAGGGCGGGCAGTGGAGTCCTGCTGTCACCACGCAGGTCCAGCGACAACTGCTCCCTCACTCTGCAGCCTCTCTGTTTTGCATGAGAAGGAGCCCAGCTGGGGCAGGGGCGAGCCACTTGGGACTGAGGCCGCTATAGATTCCAGAAAGGGGCCGTTGGATCGCTCCGGCCCCCAATACTGAGACAGCTGGAGGGTGTGGGCTGGGGGGCGTGGAGATCGCTCCGCGCTCCCGGCACCAGCCCTCCGCCGCCCGGCTTTTCACCTACTCTGCGAGCTGGGTCGGGGGTGAAGGAGGGGGGAGGGGGTCTGAGAACCTCACCTCCTGCTGCACGGATGGACTCCTAAGGTGTTAGAACACTGGGCAGAGGGTGATTTGCTCCAGGAAGTGTCTGGGTCCGCAGGGGAAATGTGAAGTCAAATCCAAGCCCGCCGGGAGCCTGCAGAGCTAGATAGAAGAAACACCTACTCTATCCCCAGCACTAACCTCAAACTCAGACGTGGAAAAGACTGACAGACGGATGGCAAGCTGAGAGCCGATCAGCAACCCCACTCCCACCCCCCTCCCCGGCTCGGCCCTGGTCGGCAGCTGGGAGTCTGTGCTCAGGTGTGTAAGTGTCAGGAGGTGCGGAAGGAAGAAGGCGTGAGACAAGCAAGGCCTTGCTTGGTAACCTGAGGTCCCGGAAGGAGGAACGTTGGGCGTGCTTTGGCTTGCTTGAATGGTGGCTGCCCGAGATCCCGGCGGGATTGCAGAGCAGTCCTGGCAGGGACAGAAACTTAGGAGTTGTCCGAACAGTAACACCTAACAATCCCACGGAGCGCGCGCCAAACCATCTTCGTGGCCGGCCGCGCGCCTCCCCCGTTCGCGCGAAGAGGGTACGCGGTTGGCGCAGCTGGATTCCCTGCCCGCCCAACTGCGTTTGCGCGCACGGTTCCGCCAACCTAGCCGCTGGCCCTTAACAGGGTTGCAAAGCTGTCCTCTCTGCCACTTCCCGCGCATCGCCAAAGAGACCAATTCCAAACTACCAGACCTGGCTAACTACGAAGACGTGGCTGACCGGTGACCATATTAGAACCAAATGGGCATTCCTAGCACGCCTCTAAATTAAAACCTACACCCCACCCTCCCATCCCACCCCCCCAAAAAATAAGGAGCAAAAGTGGGACCGCCTACCACCTCAGACTCCACTTGGGGAGAAATCTGGGTTAAACCCAGTCTATAACAAGGTCGAATCCGAATGTGGAGGCTGATGAGTGCGTCGTGGAACTAGAATGACTCTGGGGTGGGGTGGGGAGAGGCTGATGTTTTGGGGATCAGGATCTGGACCCCCAGGCCTAAGCAAATCCATCCCCCGTGGGCGGTGGTCCGGAGTTTAGACTTCGTGCGGAATTCGGGTGCTCTTGAAGGAGTGAGCTCTGGAAAGTGTTGGTCGCTGGTATCTGAGGAAGCTGGTCCTCGGCCCCGAGGCCTGAAAAAGGGGAGGACTGGAAGCCGGACACTCCACTAGTGCCCTCTGCTTGGTACTCCTGAGAACTCTCTCCTCCTTCTCCCTTCCCACCGTCATCCTTGGCCACCCCCTCACCCCGAGGCAGGGGCCCCACGGTCTCCCCGCCTAGTCGTTTGTTTTTATTTGTTAAAAAAAAAAAAAAAAGTGTCTCCGGATCACAGTTTCTCACAACTTCTCGCCTGGGTTGTCACTCCTCACCCGAGGCGCTCCTCTACACACGTCTCTCCCCGTCCCACCTTCTCTCTCCCCTGCCCCCACCAGGAAATCACTGGGATCAACTTTCCAAGAGCGCACTGCGGGAGACTGACACCGGGGACTCGCTGACAACCTGGACCCTGCGGACTTTGGATGGATTGGGGGTGGGGGTGGAGGGTGGGGAGGGGAGGAGGCAAAGCTGGAGGGACCCGAGGAGGGAGATTTAGCTGCCAAGCGCCCCCTACCTCTCCAAAGATTCGCACTGTGCCCGGGGCAAACTTCCAGGCCTCAGAAGCCAGGAGGGCGGAGAAGGATCCTAACACCTGGTGAATTGCAAAGCCAAAACTGCGCTGGGGCCGTTCCGGCTTCCGGACCCGGCATCAGTCTCCCCCCCCCCCCCCCCACCACCACCCCATCTTAGACCTTGGGCTTGGTCTGGGATTGTCACTACCCTCAGAAAGAACTCTGGCCCCCGCCAGAGCCTTACTCTCACCTTCCTTCAGTCCCTCCCACCGAAACAGAGGCTTACCGGAGCAGTAAGGGACCGGGACACCTCCCCGCCAGTCGCCCGCGCCGCGCGGGGCCTCGGGTACCGCCGCCACTGATCCTCTAAACGCGGTCTCCCCGCACTCTCCCCGGCCCGGGGATGCAGAATGGTTTACAGAGGGACCGCGAGGCGCTGATTGGTCACAGGCCGCCGTGACGTCGGCGGGCGCTGCATTAAGGCGAGGGGGCTTCCAGAGCTCAGCCAACAGCCAGGAGCAGTGACCGAGTCGCTGGAGCTGGGGAGAGACGCGCCAGGGCGGCCGACTGGGCCGAGAGACCCGGGAATCGAACGACAAGCGCCGGGGAGAAAAGCCAGCGAGGAGCCGCGGCCAAGGACGGCGACAGCCGGCAGCCCGCACGGAACTGCTCCAGCCGCTGGCCTACGGTAGCCGCTACACCAGGACATTATTTGAAAGCTCTCCAAGCGGTCCCCTCTCCCCTTCGACTTTTCCCTTTGCACAAGGGGAAGGAAAAACAAAACAAAACCAAACAAAAAACAAACAAGAGAGGAAGGCGACGGAGAAAGGAAACCCAGATTGGCCACCACCGCGAAAAGAAAAAGAGGGGGAAAGGAAAAGTAAAAGAAGGTCGAGCGACTGTGGGGCTGGACGCAGGCAGCCGGGAGCGTGGGCCGAGCGATGCGGGGCTGCGCGCCAAGGCGGCCAGGAGTTGTGATCGGAGCCACCATGCACGACCAGGTGCGGTGAAGAACCAGACGGCGTTGACTTCCCAAAGGAGTCCCGGAGCAGGGAGGGGGGCCTCCCTGAGGACACCGAGGCCGCTTGGCAGGCCACCGGCGGAGGTGACGGGGCTGGGTCGGTGGGGACTGAGCGAGTGCGCCTGATTGCATCCGCCCGAAGTTATCACTTGTGGTTTTTCGACCCCCCCCCCCACACAAACACTTCTCCAAAACAACAACAACAACAAACTAAAAACAAAAAAAAAAAAACAAAAAAAAAGAGGGGGAGAAACCTAAGCAACAACTGCAATCAACAAGACCCTCTCCCACTCTCTCCTCCCTCCCTCCCTCCTTCCCTCCCCCCCTTCGATCTGCCCCCTCCCCCTCCCCCAGGCCCAGCGGCGGGAGCCCCGGCGCGTCCCAACCGGCTTGCACCATGCCGGTAGTTTAGGATCCAAAGCTTCTCTACTTGTTTTTTTTTTCTTTCTTTCTTCCTTTTCTTTCTTTCTTTCTTTCTTTTTTTTTTAAGAGGGAGAACCCCTGGTAGTGGGCAGCCTGGCACGCACACACCCGCCTTCATACTCCGACAAAAAGCAGTTGCACTTTGACTCCTGACAGCTCTACCTCAAGCCAGAGAGAGAGAGAGAGAGAGAGAGAGAGAGAGAGAGGGAGAACTCGGCGGCGCGCTCCCCTCCCCACCCCACCTCCACCTCCGAAAACCCCAGCTCGCCGCGTCTATCCTCTCCGTCTCCTTCGCGGTTTTATTTATTTATTTCCGTTCCCGCCTGCGTTCCCGGTGACCTTCACTCTTCCGCGGGCTCCGGGCAGAAGAGTGGCTTTCTAGTCCGCCGGAGACTCCTTTTCGTCGCCTGGGGAGCTGCGGTGGCGCTGCTCCGCCCCACGCCCCGGGGACTCCCGGGCTACGCGGTCCATCCAGGCGCCCCGGGCCTCTCCACAGCCTGGTTTTCCAGGTTTTGATTGTTTTTTTTGTTTTTTTTTTTTTTTTTTCCCCTGGTACGGGTTTTGGCTTGCACGGCTGAGGTGTGTGTCTCCTCTCTTTGGAGGGGCTGGGGAGCTGCGGGCTGGTCGTCTTCGGGAGTAAACCCTCTTGGCTCTGTCTACTTGGCTCTGTCTCTTCGGGGCCTCACCCGACCCAAACCAAAGACCATGGTGCACTGTGCCGGCTGCAAAAGGCCCATCCTGGACCGCTTCCTCTTGAACGTGCTGGACAGGGCCTGGCATGTCAAGTGCGTCCAGTGCTGTGAATGTAAATGCAACCTGACCGAGAAGTGCTTCTCCCGGGAAGGCAAGCTCTACTGTAAAAACGATTTCTTCCGGTGAGTATTTTCCTCCCGTACCTCTTGCTGCTTCCTCCCCAAGGGCCTTTCTCAGCCAGCTTCGGATCAGAGGTCAGCGTGGCCACTGGCAGACGCACGAGGAGCTACCTCTGGAAAGGACAGCCAAGTCCCCCAGGCTCCTGCTTCTTGGCCAGCTGGCCTGCTGCGAGCCTAAGGGAAAGCGGCTGTACTTGTGGCCTGGAAAGTGGGGATGCATGTACCTGGGAAGAAAGGATCTAAGTCTGCCTCTGTTCTGGGGCGCTCCAAACTTGGAAGAGATTGGGCAGCCTGGAGAGTTGTAGCTCCGGCTCCCATTTTTTACCCCCCCCCTTTCAAACAAGCTCTCCAACCACTGATTTTCCGGACACCCCCCACCCCCCACCTAGAGGATGAGCGGTTGCTCACCCTCTAGGTTGAGCTCTCAAGCCTGGGCTCTTCCCAGTCACTGTCTTTTCCTTCTGAGAGGTATTGGCGGGAACACTGAGCCTTTTGGGTGGAGGATCCCCCTCACAGCACATCCCGATAGCAGCAGTAAAGAAACTCGACCTTAGGCGCCAATTCTGCACAGCCAGGAAGTTACCCCCAAACTGACTTGGTCCTTAAGCATAAAGCTGGGCAAACTACTACCCTGTAGCCTGTGAAAGGCTGCTGATTTTTCCTTGCTGTCACGCTTGCTAGGGTTGGCATACATTTCCGGCCTCGGCCCAATACTGACTGGGGCATCGAAGCGCACCAGCTTCCCTCCAGAGCCCTCTCGGGCACTGTCCCACCAGGCCTGCCCTGCCACCGGCTCCTTGCCAAGAGAAAGGTGCTCACCAGAGAGCCGGGAAAGTTTCTACTTCACTCCTCTCTTTAACATTTTAATTGTATGTTCTTAATCTCGCTATTTGGCCACCTCCTCCACAAGACCTAAGTCAATAGAGAGCAGGAATGAATGTGAATTCGAATTCTATAAAGGGTTGAAATCTCCCAGCGAACTAGACTGACTTGATGTCTGCTTTCTCTCCATTTGTAGTGATGGAGCAAACGGGAGGGTGGGTTTGGAAGCCACCGGGAGGGCCCCTTAGCTCAGGAGCCCAGGGCGCTCAGTCCCCCATGCAGTTCTCGGACACCGCGTGGCTTAGGTTTGCGCGGAACGGTGGAGCAGACGTGATGCTAAACCTTGTCGCCTCCGCGGTCTGTCGTTACCTCGACCGAGATCAGAGCCGGAGATGTCTGCGAGTCATACCCACTTCCAGCGGGTCTGCTGAGGCCTGACTTGTGACAAAGCTCAGCAGGGGACTGAACGCCGGCTTTGCCCGCGGCGGCTCCCGCTAGCGCCAATCTGCTAGACTTTGCGCACGAACGTGGTAGCAGTTACACTACCCGGGCTCTGGCACTGTGTTTGTTTACCTACCGTGGGCCCGACGGGACCAAGCTAAACCCTAGCCTGGGCTCAGGTCTTTTTGTAGTAAAAGACGATGCCAGGAAGGGGGGGAAAACTAGCGCGCTGAGTGCATTTATAGGGGGCTCTAATTAGAATTTGGCTTCTCCGAATCCAATCGAAGATTAAGTATCCCCTTGGCCACCTTGTCATCATTTCCCGCGATGCTTTTTTCCCCTCTTGGGGATGAAGCCTGGGCGTGAAGCTGGGGTTGGGGGACGGCTTGGGCCCCTCACTCTAGAAGTATTGTATTTCCTGCTCTCACTTTTTTCCCCACCGATGCCCTGCGCTCTCCTCCCTACTTCCACTCCTAGTTAATCGGCATATGATCTATAATCAATCTCTCCGTTCTCTCCCTCTCTCTCCTTCCTCCTCAACTTGTTTCTTTCTCCCGCAATCTTCCTTCTTTCATTCTCTCCTGTCTCCTCCTGTCCTTCGCCAAACCCTAACTGGAGCAGATGTTTCGGTACCAAATGCGCGGGCTGCGCGCAGGGCATCTCCCCTAGCGATCTGGTGCGGAGAGCGCGGAGCAAAGTGTTTCACCTGAACTGCTTCACCTGCATGATGTGTAACAAGCAGCTTTCCACCGGCGAGGAGCTCTACATCATAGATGAGAACAAGTTCGTTTGCAAAGAGGATTACCTAAGCAACAGCAGTGTCGCCAAAGAGAACAGCCTCCACTCGGGTGAGGCACGGATTTCCAGCTGCCTATCGGGGCTGGGATTCTGGGGAAAGCCGTCCAAGGCCGTTGCTCATCTTGTCCTTTCCCCCTCTCCCCAGCCACCACCGGCAGTGACCCTAGTTTGTCTCCGGATTCTCAAGACCCGTCGCAGGACGACGCCAAGGACTCGGAGAGTGCCAACGTGTCAGACAAGGAAGGTGGTAGCAATGAGAATGATGATCAGAACCTAGGCGCCAAGAGAAGGGGGCCTCGCACCACGATCAAAGCCAAGCAGCTGGAGACTTTGAAGGCCGCCTTCGCTGCTACGCCCAAGCCCACTCGCCACATCCGCGAGCAGCTGGCTCAGGAGACTGGCCTCAACATGCGGGTCATCCAGGTCAGGCCCCTGGCGTGCCATTTTGTCCCTCCCACAGGGTCACTCAGAGTACCCAGGTGGTGCCTAGGAGGGGAATGTATCTGAAGAGGCTGGGGGAGAGTGAAAGGTGGGGATATGACTCCAAAGGATCTGAGAAAGGTCGCAGGATGCCTGGAGCATCCTACCCACCTCCCTTCTTCCCAGACCAACAGAAATGATAGTGGCCAGGAAGCAGGAGAAGCCGGGAGGTTGGAGGAAGGGACACTGGCCAACACCACAATGCAGGACTCTTCTGTATGCATACACCTTAGCCTACTCTCACTCTTGTTAAGGAATGGAGAGAGCTGGGCGCCAGTAGCTCACACCTGTAGTCCTAGCTACTCAGGAGGCCGAGATCTGAGCATTGTGGTTGAAAGCCAGCTCGGACAGGAAAGTATGTGAGACTCTTGAATGAACCACAAAAAGCGAGAAGTGGAGCTGTGGCTCAAGTGGTAAGAGTATTAGCACAGAAGCTCAGGGATAGCACCCAGACCTTGAGTTCAAGCCCCAGGACTGGCAAAAAAAAAAAAAAAAAAAAGTAAAACAAATAAAATAAAAATAGGTTGTTTCATCTCCAGGGGTCAATCAGTTGCTTTTGCATAACACCCTCTCCTTCCAAGTGTTCAGCTCCAACTTTGTGGATCTCTTGCTCCCATTAGGAAAGCTCCAGAGCAAAAACTTCCTCTCTGAAAGGAGGTGGGCATGTTAGATTGAAGGGGAGGTAGTTCAGTAGAGAGTCAGCCCTGCCTAGGCGCAGCCCCCAGTGGGATGGTGAGGAGAAGCCATCTGGAGGCAGCTGGGCTGTGTCTGGAGGAGGTGAGAATGTGTGTGATTAGGCAGCAGGGGTCTCTGGCTTACTGCTAGGTGTTGGGTCAGTGTGCTCGGAGGCTGTGTGGGGTGTGGGTGGATAGTTCAGGGTAAGGCTGAGAGTATCTGTATAAGGGTACTGACGTGTCCACTTCGGCTGCAGGCTTGGAGGTAGCTGGGAGGCTGTGCAAACTTGTGTTTGTGAATGCGGGTTTGTGTATTTGCCACCATTGGCAAGATGGTTGTGGATAAATAAGTATGTTTTGGGAAGGGGAGATTTGCATGGGCATAAAACAGAGATTGTGAGTTTGGGTGTCATCACCTTTGGGAAAACAGTGTTAGTGGGAAGCTTTTTGTGTCTCTGTCATGATCACGCAGTATGGTTTGGGGGAGCACTTCAAGAGACCGTGAAAAGGAAGCTGTGTGTGTATGTGTGTGTGTGTGTGTGTGTGTGTGTGTAAAACACCATTTTGGAGGTTTAATGTCTCTTATGTGTGTAACGTTATTTTGGAGAGGTTTAATGTCGCTGTAGCTGCGATAGTTCGTTTGAAATAACTCAGCTACTTCTTACCTTACATCAGACATGGCGGTCAATTAAGTTCCCTCTGTCCCGAAATCCTGAATACCCGAGGCTCAATGTCTGTTTTTGCCTGGTCTCAGAACCCCTTCTCTATTTCCCCGCCCCCGCCCGCCCCTTCCAAAGTCCACACACGTGTGCTCGCACCCTGAAATCTAATCAGTGAGCGGGCAGCAGTGGAGGGGCAAAGGGTTGAGCCCCATACTGCATACTCAGGCTAGGGAGTGTGTGTGTGTTGGGGGGGGGGGTCTCGGTGACTTCACCCCACGACGTGTGTGCGCTTCAGGTTTGGTTCCAGAACCGGCGCTCCAAGGAACGCAGGATGAAGCAGCTGAGCGCGCTGGGCGCCCGGCGCCACGCCTTCTTCCGAAGTCCGCGCAGGATGCGGCCGCTGGTGGACCGCCTGGAACCAGGCGAGCTCATCCCCAACGGCCCGTTCTCCTTTTACGGAGGTGAGTGGTGGGGTTTGAGCGGACCCGGATCGACTTCGCAGGAAGCGGGTGTTTTCTGTTTGCAAAGTGAGCAGACAGGGTGGCGTAGAAGGCTGGGGAAGAAAATCTGGGGAGGTGCGGAGACTCAGGGGGCAAAAGTCCCCACCCGGAATAAGCAAGGTGGGCCTGTAGGGAAACAGCTTTCCCGTTTTGCGCAATCTCCTCCCTGCTCTCGGGACCGCAGAGGCCGCCCCGCCCCCCCCCCCCAAAAAAAAAACCCAGAAAAACAAAAATCAGTTCCCCGGAGTTGCCCTTCCTTCCTCCCCTTCTGCCTTGGCCCGCCCTGGGCTTCTCCGTGATCCTTCCTCTTCCTCGCTGATCCCGCAGATTACCAGAGCGAGTACTACGGTCCCGGGGGCAACTACGACTTCTTCCCGCAAGGCCCCCCGTCCTCGCAGGCGCAGACGCCCGTGGATCTACCCTTCGTACCGTCGTCCGGGCCGTCTGGAACGCCCCTGGGCGGCCTGGAGCACCCGCTGCCCGGCCACCACCCATCGAGCGAGGCGCAGCGGTTCACCGACATCCTGGCGCATCCTCCAGGGGACTCGCCCAGCCCGGAGCCCAGCCTGCCCGGGCCTCTGCACTCCATGTCGGCGGAGGTCTTCGGGCCCAGCCCACCCTTCTCATCGCTGTCGGTAAACGGCGGGGGGAGCTACGGGAACCACCTGTCCCACCCCCCTGAAATGAACGAGGCGGCCGTGTGGTAGCGGGGTCTCTCCCACCGTCCGAAGAGTTCGTGATTGTACAGAAACGAACTTTTATTTAAGAAAAATAGAGAGAGAGAGAGAGAACGAGAGAGAAAAAAAAGAAAAAGAAAAAAAATAGAAAAAGCAAACGTCCCCTCGCGCTACTTTCTCCAGTCTCGGAAGACCATTCTCGGTATGGAGAGACCAGATGGGGGAAAGGTGGGGGGGGACGAGCGGGGGCAGGGACATAAAATAGGATCCAAATTCGACTCGAGGTGGGACTGGGATCCGTGTCCTGGCTGCAAAACTGGACATCCCGAAGGGCAATGCAGAGCTTTCCTCACTGCCCACCCGGACCCGGATCGCTGGCTGGACTCCGACGGTCTGTGCTCCTGGCCGGCGAATGGCCTAAAGATGTCTACGCCGGCCGCAGGCGGGCAGAGCAATTGGTGATGCCAGGCGCTTGCTTAGGGAGGGAGGCCGCGAGGCAGCGCAGCCGGGCCGGGGTGGTGAAGTGGTCGGAGGCCGCTCCGGGCACAGCCTGGAGGGTTTTCTAACTCTGGGATATCTCTTGTTAGTGTTGTCTCAGAGTTCATCCACCACAGCGACAACAAACTCTTATAGCTTCAGACACACCGACCTGCTGTGCATCAGGTGGGACTATATATATATATTTTTTGTCTATCTGAGTTTTTGGTTTCTGTTTTTGCCAAAATTGCAAAATTCTAAATGTAAAGCCCTCAGTATCAACTATTCTACCTTCACAAAGCTACACACACACACACACACACACACACACACGGACAGGATGGTCTCCAGCCAGACCTCTCGGTAAAATGACTTGAACATCAGCTGTACAAGAAAAGTATTCTACTTTCACACACAAAGGTTAAAAAGAAAGACTATTGAACTAAAAAAAAAACAGTCAACTGTTTACGTATAATGTTAAATTCAGGAGTTCAGTGTTTTACTACTCTATCCTGTTTGAAACCTCTTGTTCAAAAACAAAACGTTTTGAGCAATCAACCAAAATCGTTCCTTTTCTTTTCCTGTAGATGTTCTGACAGATTTGCAGGGCTTACGGCTCACTGTGCTAGTATGTAAAAAAAAGGTGTTGTTTACACAAGGCAAAGAGAAAACATGATATTCAGACAGTTGCCAAATAGAATAATTATAGCACAAATACTGTAAAGGTGCCTGGCACCAGCAACCTGAGAAAGTATTAAAAAAAAAAAAGTGTTACAAGGTTTAAAAAAAAACATCTTTGCTAATTTTTAGTCCTGTTGAACATTCATGGAATTGTTAATATGACTTATATAGACCCACACAGGTTTTATTTTTGTGTCTTTAAAATAAAAGTCCAAAATATTTAAATTTTATGGTCAAATATGCAGTCAACAGCTGCTACTTTTTTCTTTATATATTAAATTTCTCATATGTCTTTTATTGTTCTAATAAACCTAAGCTTGTGTGACCTCCAGTGCATATTAGACCATTCACTGTATGAAAGAAAACATGTTGAATAAATTTGTGAGTTTTTAATAAAAATAGAAAATCTGATGTTTAGATAATTGGTGTGGTATTTGATGTTTTCAATGAGCAGAGGGGAGGCCTGATAGGGTGTGGAATGGGCCCACAAAAGTCAGATAAAGACTGGGAGGATTGTAAGGATGTATATATTTTTATCTTGACTGTAGCTGAACCATTTTGCTAATGCCAGACAAGCTTTTTTCTCTGTGACTCTCTGCTGTTATTAAATACAAATTTGCATTCTGTGGATTTAGCTGATACAGTTGAAGAGGTATTTGCTGATAAGTTTATAGAGAATTTGAAACAGAAATCAAACCTATGACTAAAAACCAGAGTGCTCCAGGTCTTCAATTAGGCATGAGATCCAAAACATACACTCTCTTCTCTTCCTGTCCATGCACAACTGGCCTGGTGAATGTCAGATTCTTGTTAAATATGTAGCAAGAGTTGGTCCTTTTCAGTTGTGATTCATTTTACACAGATAATACTGCTCTCTAATTTGGTGGTTGGAAAGATAACATAGATTGAATGTATGGGATAGCTAGCAATGAAATACTTCAATCCTTTTCACAGAACTGATATGAATTTGTTCCGAGCAGTTATACATGTGAACTTCTTCTCCAGAAGGAAAATTATTTTGCTGGACACATGTTACATATTAAGCTTCTTTGGGAGATGAACAAAAATAACTAATGTAGAAATCAAATATTGAAGTTGCCAATAGTTCCTGAAAAGTAGTTCTATTCCTTCCAACCCTTTATTAAAAATGGGAAGAATCTGAATGCTCCATCTACTATAAAATACTCATGTGTGGGTGCACATGTGTTTTAATATCAGACATTATTAAAGTTCTAGAATTTCTCCACTCATCCACCTAGATTTTAGTTTTGATCATTTTTTAAAATCAAGGCTTACAATAAATTGTATGTAATTTCCAGGGCTGTTTCTGTATTTAGGAAAGAAGTTTTTCCTACAAAGAAGCTTTCAAAATAAGCATTATTTCACTGTATCCCTAGCTTATCCTATGAGGAGAGGGGGGCACTATCAGGAAGGAATCTGGCTGGTTCTTCGGGAATAAAAATTATGAAATACAAGAGAGACTTTTGAAACTCCTAGTATCTGCAAGCAGCACATTTTCTTTATCTGCTTTGTATGCAATTAATGGATCAGCATGTTTTTGCCCTTTTAGCATTTATATACATTAAATCATAGTAAATGTATTCATTATAGTGACCATTCTCTATCACCTTTCTCCTAAAGACATTCACTTGACTGAGTGTATGCTCATCAGAAAACTGTATTTTCCTATCAAGACTGCTGAATTATTTAGCAGCTTTATTGTGGTATCCGGGTGTTTGATAAGAGTTGAGCAGGCGGTGTGAATTCAATTCTTCCAATGGTGACATTGGCTCAGCCTTTACCCTCCACGTGGTATTGTGAATCCTGGCAAATACCCCTAAACAGGTGGCAGTGCTCAGCAGTCTAATTTGGAGCCCAAAACTTGGAAGAAGAGCTCTAGAATGGTAGGGACTGATTTCATTTTTGTCAATGTCTCCCTGTCTGCCTTCTGCCCTGAGGTTGCAGGGGAATACACCACCACCCTCACTCATAGCTACTGGAGAGAATAGAAGGTATAAGGAAGTGGTTCCCAGTCTCTAGAGAGAGAGAGCAGCCTCTTCATAAAGAGCTTGAACAACCAACCTGGTTCCTCTCCTGAGCCATCTTTAAGGCCTCCAAACAGGTGCCTCCAGACACCTGCTCTGGAGCCACCATCTATATATGGGAAGAGGAAGCCAAGTTTCTTCTGGGTGGTGGAGGCTGGAGGGCTGTTTTGGTGCAAGGCAAGTTGGGGCAGGAATGTGGATGGAAAGCTTGGATATGTTTCCTAGGAATTTGGGACCTGAAGTTTGATGATGGTTGAAAAGAGAGACAGGCAGAAACATGGTCTTTCCTATATTCTTTGGAACTTCTGATCAAGTGAACAAACAGTTGTATTAGACAAATGGGGTGTGAGTACAGGAGGCATATAATGTCATCTCTGCCCAACTTCTACTACTTCTACCTATACCTGTCACTTTTGCAATTCATAAAAGCAGGGAAAGAGATTTGGACCTGGAGAGCCTTGGAACCAGGTTGCAGACTGTTCTTTTACCGGACTGCCCACCCTTATTTTCCTTTGTCTGCTCATCTCTGGCTCTTATCTCTAGAGAATTTAAAGGCTGATATTTCTGCTAGGCATATATTCAGTCTTTGAAACATCCTCTCCTCATAGTCCACCATAGTCTACACGGTCTCCGTTCCCACTCCATTTTCCATAACACAAAAATTAGGAAGCAGTTAGGGAAGAACCCCTGATTTCCTCTCCTGCTCCATGCTTCAACTCCCCTCAGTTGCATCTGAAGTCTTAAAACTTATTTTTCACTCTAGGAATTCTTTTCCTACCTTCAGCAGGTACAGCATGCATTTTGGAGGCCATAGGCTGAATAGGATAGAGTGCTTCTGATTTTTTTTTTTCTAAAACCACTTTGAAAGTTGGTTAGCAACCAAGACATGGAAGCCAGAGTGTTGGTCCAGCACAACCTAAATGGGCCAGCACTGTCCTGTTTGTTTGCCTGACAGTTCAGAGATGGTCTCTGTCCTGACTCACCTCCTTCTCCTGTTTCTCTTTTCTCCTTGCCTGGTAGGGCAGATTCCTAAGCACAATTGTAGCCCAAAGTCGCAAGGGAAGAGGACTGTGGGAGGTAGTTTTCCTAAATGTGAAGTGGGAAAAGAATTTCTTCAAAGCCTAGGGCAATGGCACCTTGTAAAGGACTGAGCACCGTTGCTCTGGAAGCCCAGATGTGTGCACAGGATTTCAATTATAGTGTTTACAAACAAAGCCCCTAAACTGTTCAGTTAGCCTGAGTCTTCTTACAGATAGTAAGAAGAGGTTTTCTTCACATTAATTTCCTTCCTAGCCTGGCATTCTTTCCCTTCCACATCTGTGGGGATTTAGCCTAAGATGGGGTTTTCTCCCTTCTCTGCAGCCATTGTCATCTTCACATAGAGAGCCAAACAGGACAAGGATGTGGGGCAGGATAAAGTAGTGTCCTGTCATTAGTGGATTCTCAGAGCCTATGAAGACTTTGAAAGTAAGGACCTGTCTCTTCCTTTGTGTTCCCCAGGAGGCACTGGGGCTAAGAGTTGCCTAGATTTTTCAGCCCTGGTACCTCCACGCAGATCAGTACTGTCTTTCCTCTAGATTCTTTTGTGACAGTTTTTGTGTCTATCTGGTTCTAGATCTCTACCTAGGACCTACAACAGATGCTGACAGGGCGGGAACACTTTGTACTCAAACTTATCATTCCTTACAGCAGTTTGTGTTTACCTTTGTCAGCTCCCCCGCCCTCTGGACCCCCCTCTGCAGCTTCCCCGCCCCCCCCCCCCCCCCCCCCCCGCTGATCAGTGTGTGGACAGTATCTAACATTCTCATCTTGTATCTCATCTAGCAGTGTCTGCCACGTAGTGGGCAGTCAGAGAATGTGTGATGAAGGAAGGAGGGAGGAATCGCATCTTTCCTCGGACCTGGGGGCAATGAAAGCTCTCCTATTGTATTTGTGCCTCGGTTTTAGGGGTCTGCATCCACCCTCCCCTCTGGGAGAACTATCAATACCAAGGAGTGTGCAGAAGGGTAAGCTCCACTCCAGCCCTTAACCTCCCCACTCCGACCCAGCTTTTTTTTTTTTCAAAAAATACTTGCTCTGGCAAGGCTACTTGGAGAAGCTACTGAAAGGATCTTTACTTCCATCGCCATGTCTAATTATTCCTACTTATTGATGGAGACACCTGAAGACCCAGGCCCTTCTAAATGGTGAAAAGCCCTAGCTATCTGAGGGGCCCAGTTCACGCGCGCTCCAGGGAGTACCTGAGACTCGAGAAGCATGAACACTCTACCTCTTCTTCCTTCCTAAATCAGCCACCGTGGGCCCTACGACGCTTTATTTCTAAACGAATCGCACACAAAACTTGAGGCAGACGACGTGGTGCGGAGGGAACCCGAGACGCCGCGCAGCGCAATCAACGCCCAGCGCCAGCGGCGGTCACGTGTCCCCCCAGCGTGCTCCCGCGCGCGAGACGCGCAGCTCGCGCTCCCGACTCACGCGCACGCGCACAGGCGGTCCTCCGCCTCCTCCTCCTCCTCCCCTTTCCTTTACCCCTCCCCCCCACCCCTCCAGCCTGAGGCGCGCTTCCGTCTTCTTCCTTAGCAACGCCCGTGGTGACGCGTAGGCCCCGCCCCCTCCCCTCCCCTCCCGCTCGCCTCCCGGAAGTTACTGGCCCGGGTGCTGAGCGGGCGAGCTCCGCGCGGCCGTGAGGTTGTGGTGCCGAGTAGAGTCGGGGTGAGAATACCCGGGAAGGAGCGTCTGGCCGGGGTGTAGGCCTCATAGTCGTGTGCGCCGCGCTAACCGGGAGCCTGATGACGATGGCGGGCCCGCAGCCTCTGGCACTGCAGTTGGAACAGTTGTTGAACCCGAGACCGCGAGAGGCGGATCCTGAGGCCGACCCGGAGGAAGGTGAGGCCTTGACTGGGGCTAGGCCACGTGCGGAGCCGCGGTCTGGCCTGGGGTAGGCTGCGGCTGCGTGGACTTACGTGTGTGGGGTGGGTAGGGGGGGTGTGCGGCAGTGCTTCACGGTCTGGCCTGCTGCCTTCTCCTTGAGTGAGGAGAATTGCCTTCCGCGAGGGTGGCCTCCAGGCCCCGGAGTGTAGGTTATTGGGGAAGGTTCCGACTTCTTTAGGTTTGGTGTGTAGGTGAACTTACCGAGGTCTCGAGAGAGGAGCAGGTTAAGTTGTTATAGGGCTGTTGGAAGGAGCCAAGGTGGCATTAGGATGGCAGCAGGTTGGAAGTTAAACATCTCATGGATGCCTTTCCTGGTATTACCTTGGAAAACTCAATCCGTTTTTCCTTTTGTTTGTGTGTGTGTTTTTGTTTGTTGTTTTGACACTGCCTGCCTCTAAAAACTTGCATGGAAAATGAAGGGCAGAAGTGGAATTC